ATTACAGAGGCCCGAAGGCCTTGAACAGACTCAAGTGTAAGCTACATTGATTTTTATCATTTATGTTAACACCTTGTATTTAATTTCATTTATGCCTAATAACGTCATACTGGTTGCATTGTTACTGCTATGGATGATAATATATTATTACAAAATGGCGGCAAGTCATTTTGGTAATAACATAATGTTCAAAATTGTATGTTAATCTTACAGGGTAAAATGAGTTTTGATGTTTATTATTTTAGGTTAGGCGCCACATTTTAGGCTAGGCGCCACATTTTAGGCTAGGCGCCACATTTTAGGCTAGGGCGCCACATTTTAGGCTAGGCGCCACATTTTAGGCTAGGCGCCACATTTTAGGCTAGGCGCCACATTTTAGGCTAGGCGTCACATTTTAGGCTAGGCGCCACATTTTAGGCTAGGCGTCACATTTTAGGCTAGGCGCCACATTTTAGGCTAGGCGCCACATTTTAGGCTAGGCGCCACATTTTAGGCTAGGCGCCACATTTTAGGCTAGGCGTCACATAATCTAATCATACATTTTCCCCTTCAACTGCTTGAAGGTAAATATGGATAATGTGCAAGAATTTTAGACGATTTATAAATATGATTTGCCATTGTGTGCAACATTAAAGTTCAGATGTATCTGTAAATGGCTAAGTTGTCACACAGTGTATGACGCGACGCTCTAGTGTGGTGTGTGTTCCTGCCTGTGTGCACACACACACACACACACACACACACACACACACACACACACACACACACACACACACACACACACACACACACACACACACACACACACACACAGATGCTGTGTCATCTACATCCCCCATACAAGCAGTACTGGTGCGTCACTGCCCCTTACTAATCCTGGGGTAGGCGGTGATGGTTGGTGGTGGTGGTGGTGGAGACTGGTGCGTCACTGCCCCCAGCTCATTTTGGAGATGGCGGGAGTGGGGCATAAAGAATAGATGTGAAAAGTGGAATGATGAACATACTGGTGGAAGTTGGAGTGGGTGAGAGGGCGGGGAGGAGGAGGGAGAGAGTGGGTGAGAGGGTGGGGAGGAGGAGGAGGGAGAGAGTGGGTGAGAGGGCGGGGAGGAGGGAGAGAGTGGACACAGGTAAGCGAGGCCGCCCCACTGATTATAACATGGGGGGGAAGTAACGGTGTCTGACCCCGTCCCCTCCCCCTCCTTCCCCCTTCCCCCTTCTGTCTCCAAAGTAATTCCCTTCCTCTTCCATCAGCCCCCCCCCCCCCCCCCCCTCCGTATAGGTGGGAGTAATATTACCAAGATGTCCTGGCTGGCTTTATTAGTTCCGTGTTGTGTAGGACAGACCGACATGCTATGAAGCACTGTAACAAAAGGACTTCTTCTCTGGAAACTAATAAACTAATCTATTAATATTCTCCTAAACTAATTATGTTTGGTTATACGACAACCGGGTGGTGGTCTTGGCGCCACCTGCTTGGTCCACCTAACCAATCCAGTCTTACCTAACCTAACCACATTCACCATAAAGATGAGCTGATGTTATCCTGTCGTGGCCGCATTATCCGGTACAATAAATCCAACATATGTTTGGTTGGTCGACCGGCTGGTTGACTTGCTTCTTTCTCTCTTTCCTCTATCTCAGTAGTACGACCGGTCCAACGGTCGAAGGTCCATACATTAGCTGCTCATATATACTCCGTTTGAGTTTAGTCATTTATTATGCACCCTATACTCATCCCGTGAGCGGTGGTGGAGGCCACGCCCATCTCGTGGGCGGTGGGGGAGGCCACGCCCATCCCGTGGGCGGTGGGGGAGGCCACGCCCATCCCATGGACGGTGGGGGAGGCCACGCCCATCCCGTGGGCGGTGGGGGAGGCCACGCCCATCCCGTGGGCGGTGGGGGAGGCCACGCCCATCCCGTGGGCGGTGGGGGAGGCCACGCCCATCCCGTGGGCGGTGGGGGAGGCCACGCCCATCCCGTGGGCGGTGGGGGAGGCCACGCCCATCCCGTGGGCGGTGGGGAAGGCCACGCCCATCCCGTGGGCGGTGGGGGAGGCCACGCCCATCCCGTGGGCGGTGGTGGAGACCTTACAGAGGCACATAATAGGCTCAGGAACTGGACCTCACAGTTCATTTAGCTAAGCAAGTGACAATTTTGTGAAGGTAGTTAGACAATTTTCTTGTTCTTCTACACAAGCACTTGTACATATATATCAACAGTCTTTTTGTCACAAGTGATTCAAGGCACGACTTACTGAGGCGAGGCAATTACATAGTTACTAATCCTGCTCCAAAACGGTCTAAATTATATTATTGTCAATATTTTGGGTTTATTAATGCTTTTTTATTGTCCGAAATCACAACTCTTATCATTCGTATTCCCTGGATTGGTTAGAATTGATTTTGTGCGCCATATTGGTGTAGGGTAGAGGAAGGTGAGGTGGGAGGGCAGCAGCAGCAGCCTAGTGTGGCAGCCGCTCACTTTAGTTCTGGGAATCCGTCCTCTTGTTAAGACGTGTTATTGTCCCGTAACTTAAACCACACGTAACGTAACCTTAGACTAAATGTGTGCTGTATACTGTCTCGACGGAGCTGTCCCATACCCGCCCTCCTCCCGTCATGCACCGTCTGGGTCCTGTCCTGTCCCTTGTACACTCCGTCCTCTCCTCCTCATGTACTGTCTGCACTCCCTCCTCCCCATACACTCTCTGCAGCCCCTAGCCCCATCCCCCATTGAGGAGGGATGCAGCCCCGAATAACCCCACCGGTGTGTTCACTACCCTTCCTGTGTCCTCCTTCACCCTACTTCATGTGGCTCATCTCTGCTTCCCTCCCTGCACTCGCTCTCGCCTTCACTTTGTTTAATACTGTTGTCTACCTCATCGTGCTTTGCTGTATCTACTGGGATGTGGTCTACCTCTCTTAGCTACAGGTATCAATTCAATTCAGTATGTGTGTTTTACTATTTGTGCCTGCAGAATCGAGCTATTAGGGGTGTCTAGAGCTATATGGCTATATTAGAGCTATATGGGATGCCATAGGCACAATCAGGGAACACTGTACAGTATAAACATCAGAGGTCCGCGGTTTTTCAACATCCTCCCAGCGAGCATAAGAAATATTGCCGGAACAACCGTGGACATCTTCAAGTGCCGGACCAACCGGGCTGTGGTGGGTATGTGGGCCTGCGGGCCGCTCCAAGCAACAGCCTAGTGGACCAAGCTCTCATAGGTTCTCATTCCTGGCTTCTGGCCGAGCTTGGGGAGTAGAAGAACTCTCAGAACCTCATCAAGCAGGTAGCTCTTGGACCCCGCCTTTCTAACCAGTTTATTCTTCCTCTATTATGACTACTAATCTTTCTCTCTCTCACACACACACACACACACATTCCCCAGAAGCAGCCTGTAGCATCTGTCTAACTCCCAGGTACCTATTTACTGCTAGGCGAACAGAAGCAACAAAGTGAAATAAACTGCCCATCTGTTTCTGCCTCTGCCGGGAATCGAACCCGGGCCCTTAAGGGCCACGACTCCCGAGCGCTGTACACTCAGCCGCGAGGCCCCAAGTGTGTGTGTGTGTACTCACCTAGTTGTGCTTGCGGGGGTTGAGCTCTGGCTCTTTGGTCAAAAGAGCTCTTTGTGTGTGTGTGTGTGTGTGTGTGTGTGTGTGTGTGTGTGTGTGTGTGTGCGTGCGTGCGTGCGTGCGTGCGTGCATGTGTGTGCGTGCGTGCACGCGATGTGCATGTTCCCGTCGTCTTGAGCTAGCGGCAGAAAATGTAGTAAGAGTGACGTCACTGGTCGCACCCTCCCTGCGGTCACCTCTTAGTAATCAACCTCGGACCCATTAAGGTCGTCTTTGTGGGTAATGACAATGAGACTTTGTCATTATTTGCCTGCATTACCGGGTGGGTTTGAACATGTTCCTCCGTGACAATAAGGTACATCTCTCATTGCAATATTATTTAATTTAGCCAATTTGTTTTATTTTCCTGTTAATTATATTGCCATATATTATTCTTGCCCCCCCCCCCTTCTCTCTCTCTCTCTCCTGTAGCATACACTACATACACACACACACACACACACACACACACACACACACACACACACACACACACACACACACACACACACACACACACACACACACACACACACACAGAACTTTGTATACCACATATGTCAGACCAATCCTGGAGTATGCAGCTCCAGCATGGAGTTCATATCTAGTCAAGTATAAGACTAAACTGGAAAAGGTTCAAAGGTTTGCCACCAGACTAGTACCCGAGCTGAAGAGTTAGGGGGGACATGATCACCACATACAAGATTCTCAAAGGAATTGATAGAGCCTTATCAATAAGGATTGGATAAGCCTTATCCTTATCTATCCTGTCAATTACCCTTAGGATTTTGTAGGTAGTGATCATGTCTCCTCCTTACTCTTCTGTCTTCCAGTGTCGTGAGGTGCATTTCCCGCAACCTTTCCTCGTAACTCATGCCTCTTAGTTCTGGGACTAGTCTAGTGGCATACCTCTGAACTATTTCCAGCTTCATCTTGTGCTTGACTAGGTACGGGCTCCATGCTGGGGCCGCATACTCCAGGATTAGTCTTACATATATAGTATACAAGTTTCTGAATGATTCCTTACACAGGTTCCTGAAGGCTGTTCTGCTGTCATTCTCTGTTTCAATCCTCTTCATAATTTTACCATCATCAGCAAACAGTGAGAGAAACGAGTCAATACCTTCTAGGAGATCATTTACATATATCAGTGTGTGCGTGTGTTAGAGATAAATATATGTATTAGATATAATATAGGGAAATAGATTGGTTAGAAAGGCGGGGTCCAAGAGCTAATAGCTCGATTCTGCAGGCACAAATAGTAAGTACAACTAGCAACTATACACACACACACACACTCATGCGTGTAGTAGGCGCTTTACAAATGTAAACCACATATGATAGAACACGCGAGTGAGAGTGTGTATGTTGTTGTTACAGGCCGCAATGAGTTGATCGCCCGCTACATCAAGCTGAGAACCGGGAAGACGCGGACCCGCAAGCAGGTGTCGTCACACATCCAGGTGCTGGCCAGACGCAAGCTGAGGGAGATACAGGCCAAGCTTAAGGTGAGCACCTCCTCCTCCTCCACTCCTTGTCTGCACTTCTCTTCCAGGTCACACCCTCCTCCTCCTCTTCTCAATGGTTCTTCCTCTGGTCCTGGAATGGGTTGAAATGTAGCCAGCGAAGATCTTCCATGCCTTTACAGTTGTACATCGGTGACAGCTCGTGGAATTGGTTTGTTCTTAATGACTGTGTAAGGTAACCAGTTTGCCTGATTAGCCTTTGTTCTGGGCCGTGTCATATTAATAGACCATGAAAAGGTCACAACAGGACTGAACTTCAGAATATACGCAGTCATTACGCACGTTGTTATTCCTCAGGTATTTCCGGAACTGATCGCACGCCTCCACCTGTGGCCTTATAATCAGAAATATATATGGTGCGTTTAATGAGAACATTGTGATGCAACCAGAGGTGCTTCACTCCGGCCAAAGTAGGTGATGTGGGGGTTTCCGTGACCCAGCAAGGTAAACAGAGCAGGTGGCAGATACAGGGGATTACAGTTCCACTTAATGATGGCTAGATAACATACAGTGATTGGAAGTCTCCAATTCAGTCCTCACTGTCTCTAATTTCCTAATATTGGTCACTTTTACTAATATATAATTGCCAGAAGAAATGTTAGCACAAAAAATGATGATTCATCCAGTAATTGAAAAGTTCACGATTCTTGAAAAGTAATTATGGAAGAGCGATTCTTCCAGTTTTGTGATCGAACTATAAATTATTATTAAGTACGTCAGGCTATAGCCTCGTGCAGAAATAACACTAACTTACATTTACTTTATAATTGAATTAAAGAACATGATGTTAAAGTCCGTAACAACTATAGTAGCAAATGCATTGCTTAATGTTTAAAAAATCTGAATGCACATTTCTATTCATGAATGATAAAAAGTATTCAGTTGATTATCTGAATTTCGTTATATAATTTACTACAAAGTGGAAAAATATGGACGCACACATAAGAACAGCTAGGTGAGTACACACACACAAGAACAAACAAATAGAAACACCCAGTGCTCGGGAGTCGTAGTCCAAAGATCCGGGTTCGATCCTCAGCTCTCATCCTGTAACACAACCCGTTCTCGCATACAAAGATATAAGCTCTTTAATCCAGCCGCCAACCCCCCTGTTTATGAATGAAAAGTGGTTTACACACAACTCAACTGATGACGTCCAAACACTTTCGGAACAAGTGCTTCACGTACTCTGTTCGAACCACAATTCTATAAATGCTTCACCCACGAACTTATAAATACAAATTAATACCAACAGAACCTAAACATCTAATCTAACCTAACCTACGGCAAACTATGCAGACAATTTTTATGTATAAGAATATTAATTTATATATGAGAACAAACCAATTTTTAATACACAGTATGTTAAAATTGATGAATGCGTCTGGGAAGGACGGCCACTGCTTTAAACAGCCTGGTGTGAGGACGGGTTGTGTAACAACACTTAAGTAATTACACATACACATTCATTTATTACAATATAGCATATAAACACACACATACGTAGGCAAAATGCTCACTTGCATACATGTATGTCAGTGGTCCGGAGAGTAAGCGACTGACCTGTTGGGGTTCCATCCACCTCTTGGATTGTTACCAGAAAAATGACATCTTTGTTTTCATATTACTTAAAATATATCATTGATATTTAAATCATCAGCCAAATGAAGCTGTTAATTTCAGATATTACAAGAAGTTTGACCTTTTTACAATTTGCTTTTGTATGGTTTAATTCTTTGACAGTCCCATATTTTGTAAAAGATTTATGAAAACCACTTTTTATATATGGGTGTTAAAGGATATTGACAAGTTAAATACAGGTTTTTATATGCAAATCATTAGTGGTATAACTAACTGAGTTATAGCAACTATCAGTTATATGCCCCTGGTACAGTGTCACTGATTATAGGATTAAATAAGAGCATAACTTGACAGAAAGGCCTTAAATGTTTGTTTTCAGTGATGTGAAACAGCATACTTGGTGAGATTTATATACAATACACATTTTAAAAGTGCAAAAATTAACAATAACTTGAGTGACTTTGCAGATACTGTATGTAATATCACAAAACAGGCACTGTATCTAGTATGGTTTTGTTAAACTCACAAGTGGAATTCTCTTTTTGCAGGATGTACCAGGGGTAAGGAGGTTGAGGTCTCTGCTTTGTTGCTCGGCTGGGTATAATAGTGTGACCCTCACCTAATGTAACCATGCTCATAGTTACACATACACACACACACACACACACTTTCTTCTGTTTTTGTCCTACTGTATATTCTTATGCCTAAGTACAATTTATGCTTGTTACTTTTGCACCTTGTATCACCAGCACTTCACTTGTTTTTGAAATGATAGATGTGGTTACCCACTGGTCCTTGTTATCTTTCACTCGTCATCTATTGCTCTGTTCTTGTATTATCTATCTTGTTTGAAAGTACATTTAAGTCAAGAGGTGAGGCAGTACAGTACAGTACTGTATTTACCAGATTTGAACCATGGCACTTGAGATGTACGGCGCCTCAGTAGTCTCAATTCTTGTTGCACACTGTATGCTCACTCTTGCCTGGCTGAAGGGGAAGAAAAGGCTTCTGTCTAATGGATGCCAAAGTTAGTACCATATTTTAGCATGGTGTCCTCTACTTTGTCTTAGCCTGTGCACCATATTTTGGAAAAGCAACACTTTATTATGGTGTTGATTTATTTCATATCTATCCCACATCTTGATAATGGTTTAGTATAATATAGTATTATACAGTGTGTGTGTATATATATATATATATATATATATATATATATATATATATATATATATATATATATATATATATATATATATATATATATATATATATATATGACAATGTCAGACCACGGAGGAAAAATGAAACAGGAAATTTCCTTAAGTACTTTCGTATATTAAATACATCTTCAGAAGGTCAAATTAATTATTGGACCTTCTGAAGATGTATTTAATATACGAAAGTACTTAAGGAAATTTCCTGTTTCATTTTTCCTCCGTGGTCTGACATTGTCACATTCTTAATCACGTGTTTATTTTCGTGATATACACACATATATATATATATATATATATATATATATATATATATATATATATATATATATATATATATATATATATATATATATATATATATATATATATATGTATATATATATATATATTTTTTTTTTTTTTTTTTTGAAGAGACATCTTGGACTAATTACCTTAACTCATATTATGATACTAGGATGTATCAGTATGACACCAGTATGTATTGTTTCTGTGGTAAAGATGTATTTTAATTATCAATGTCTTGTCATTAAGCTGTCAAGACCCGTAGCAGTAGAGTAGTAATATAGGATAATAATGCAGAGTAACTTTGTATAAGAATCACTATACTTTGATGCCATGTTATTATTAATATTATTTTTGTAATGTCATGATTTAATATTTACCAGTCATAGAAATTCATCAATAAAATTTTAGATGAAAGTGCATATACTGTAGTTGTTTTTGACTAGTTTATAATAGATGTGCTGGTGGCAGCTACACGGGGGGGGGGGGGGATAGAGGACAAGGGCAACAACCTACTTATATACAGAAGTAAAATTAATTTGAATCACCGTAGTTAAACAGAGGCTGTATGAGACACAACTTGTGTTACTTGTATAGAATATAGAGGATAGTTGCTCTTAAAATACTGTACAACTTGGTAACACATATGAAGGCAAATTAGTTTGTGCTTTTCCTATTCTGACCTGTACTTACTAACATGTGGAGTACAGTACTGTACTTAGACAACATCTCAAAATAAAAATAGCTCAAGTACTCATTGAATCTGTAAACAGCTTGCATATACTGTCAAAGGAATTATGCATAAGGCTCATCATTTTGAAAAACCATTGCATATTTAAATTCTTCCTTTGAACAGTGCTTGACATTTGTGTTCAGTATGGATTGATAATTTTGTGAGTAATAACCCTAATCCTTGCCATGTATGTGCTCAAGTTCACTGAGCACTTTAATGCTTCTTTGCCCACTAAAACTGGCTTCATTGTTGCAATATAGTTGCTCACTTTATTTTGAGATGATAAAATTTTGTTGTACAGTACAGGGATTTACTGATGAAGGAAATTAATTCCAGCTATTTTTTTTACCATTAGGCTTGGTAAGAGATCTAGGATGTAATTACAGTATTTAAACATCAGTAAAAAGTTTTAATTAACTTATTACTGTACTGTAAATTTAGTTGTCCACTGATTAAATAGCAGTACAGTATTACTAAATCAGTTCAAAAGTGACAGATTGCAGCTAGGTTGCCTGTGTGAAATAATTTGTCTTGTATACTTACCTGTGTTTGTACCTTGTTGTAGGGCTGCACGTCTGATGAAAATGGCGGAATGTTGAGACTGGCAAGTATTTTTTTAATTTTTTTAGTTTGCTTATTGTATTTCCTTCTCTTCATAAGAGGAGGAACCAGTTTCACTTAGACATCAAATAGAAAAAGTTACATATAGGTAGTGCATTTCACAATAGTCATACAGTATCCATACAGTGATGTACACAGTAGTACAGTGTCTTCACATATCTTGCTTAAATGTACTTGAGCTATTTTTACACATATAAGATATTCATATATTTTTGTATTGTCTAACACGCCGAAGTGTATATGTAAAGAAAACAGTGCTAAATATATAGGGTGAAGGAACAAGTATGAAGGTAAGGGAAGGCATAACAAAATTACACTTGGGGAATATAAAAACGTATAAAAAGTACAATACAGTAGGTTTTAAGAATGAATGCTATTACTTTAATTAGGTGTACAGTAATTCAGTAGCAATAGAGAATATATATTTAAGTAATAGTTCTTTCATAGACGATTAAGGTGAATTAATACAGTACATATCTTCTTGAGGTTATCTTGAGATGATTTCGGGGCTTTAGTGTCCCCGCGGCCCGGTCCTTGACCAGGCCTCCACCCCCAGGAAGCAGCCCGTGACAGCTGACTAACTCCCAGGTACCTATTTACTGCTAGGTGAACAGGGGCATTCAGGGTGAAAGAAACTTTGCCTATTTGTTTCTGCCTCGTGCGGGAATCGAACCCGCGCCACAGAATTACGAGTCCTGCGCGCTATCCACCAGGCTACGAGGCCCCTACATTAAAGAAATTGGAGTACAGTATGTTTTAACTGTAGTTTTGAAATGCATTTCCAGATGCAATAGTATACTGCAAATCAGTGCAATTTCTCAGGATGAACAACACAGGAAGATAAATACAGTAGCTTAGATTGTGGTAAAGCACGTGTCTGGTCAACTTGGGTTGGGACAAACCATTAATTCTCGTGTAGTGTTTTGTATCGTGGGTGTGGCTTGGAGCAATGACTTGGGATAGCAGCTTTTACGTTTTGTCATATAATGGTAAATACAGTACAAATAAAATGGTAAATTTACAATCTAGAGAAAACTTTTAAGATATGATATATTATTCATATATAATTTAAAAAATTAAAACATTAGTCAGAATTTGTTTTTCCTCATAAAAACAAATATTGTACAGTATATTGCTTACGTGTTCATTCATACAATATCATTATTGTTTAAGTGAAGCTGTTTCCTTCTCTCAATTTTAGGTGTGAAAGACACACACACATGAAGTGTGCATTGAAGGTACTCCATGGAAGGGAGGTTTTTTAAATTTTTTACTAAATAAACAAGGAACAGATTAAGAAGATTGAAGTAGCATTAACAAGAAGGTTATTTAAGAAAGGATAGAAAAAGCAAAGGCTATCTTTTAACAAAAAATCTGACATGTCAAGAATGAAAAGTTGCTAAATCTGTGATAAGGTTGACAGTGTCCTGTGGCCAGGGAAGGTTTCACGAGCACACTGCCGGTGATGAGTTTATCGTTTGCGGGAGAATTGTGACATTAATACAGTATAAAATACAGTAAATATTATATGATCTTCATATGAAGTTATTATTTTTAGTTCATTAATAGTTTATTTATCATTAAAATTGTATAATTCTGGCTTGTGTGATTATCCTAAATATTATTTTAAAGCAGTTAGGTACTGTCTGTTTTAAATTAAGATACAATATCTATGGATGATGCTCATAATTTCCTTATACAGTAGCTTCATTATCATATTGAGAAAAAGTTTTCTTATTGTTTAATGTTTACCATTTTACAGTTTTAAAATATCTTAGATGATGCCTATAGTTTGTAGGCCTTCTTGACCTTATATGATGTTTACATGTCTTAGTGTCTTGCACAAACATAATGCTGAACATTTGTCGAGAAAATCTGTTTAAGTTGCTGTTTATTTGGATCAGTTATTACTTAAACTAATAGCAATATAAGAATAAATGAATCTGCAAGAGAGGGGCATTGGCCCATCTGAGACAGCCCACTGTTTATAGCCACCCAAATTCATGCATATACAGTACAGTGTATGTCTACCCTATACTGGGAACAATCCAGTGGTCCCATGTCAAGTATGTTACCCAGTAATTTGTTTTAATAAATTAACAACCCTACGAATAATTCAATCTGAAAGAGCAGTGACTGCCACAGTGGTATACATGTACAGAACACCTTTGTTTAAATGGTGATAGTCCAGATTAATTCCTAGGCAGTGTAGGTGGTGATAGTCCAGATTAATTCCTAGGCAGTGTAGGTGGTGATAGTCCAGGTTCATTCCTAGGCAGTGTAGGTGGTGATAGTCCAGGTTAATTCCTAGGCAGTGTAGGTGGTGATAGTCCAGGTTAATTCCTAGGTGATGTATATGAAGAGAGTCCAGGTTAATTCTTAGGCAGTGTGGTTGGACAGTATAGTATTTAAAAACAGGTACAATTATTATGTTATAAATAGCATGTCTGTTTTCAACTCTAGAATTACTGTACAGTACTTGTCTTTTGTGTACAAGATGATTGTGATGAGGGATGAACGCTTTAGTTTACATGGTCGACACATTGTCTTTTAGATCATATAGTTTAGTGCTTTTATCTTTTGTATCTGAATTAAAGCGTTTTGTTCAGACTAGACTCAATTGCAAGAATGTTTTGACCAAAGACGTTCTAAACTAGTTGTGTAATTGATTAGTTGATTGATGGAGAAGTATCAGTAGTAGACAGAGCAAAAGCCTCATTTCTCGTGTAATAATTCCGTATTGGTGACCAATGGCCAGCTATTTGTTACTATTTTAAAGATTGCCTGTGTTTTGTACAATAAATATGTACAAACTAATTTTAGATCTTAACCATACATAATTTGTATTATTTATTCCACTCTTTATTTAAATATTTTGGAAACAATTTGTTGTCTTACTGTAACTTGACTTCCAAATTGTCCATGTCATGTAACTTGATTTTCAAGTTGCCTGCACCTATGTTATTGTGTCTGTTTATGTTACATATCATGTATAAAGAACATCAGTGTTTTTATTTGTAAACAATAACTTTAAAATAAAAAGTTTGTGCTTAAAAATATATCCATTGGAAGCCATTACAGTCCCAAAGTCATAATGTGAAACTGTCATTGATAAAAAATATGATTTATAATACTGTATATTAATTTAGTATTATAATGCATTTTCTGGAAATATTGATTAATATGCATAACTTGTATTAGTCTAGGAAAGATTAGTACATCTTCAGTATCATAGTATTCTACAGTACTTTACATAAACATTGAACATATGTTTAGGTAGGTGTTCTTGGCATTGAGCCTCTTTGTATATATAAATATCAAAATTTATTATTTAATTTATGGTTTGATCATAACATCTAATTCAGTGGCAGGAGTCCTGCAACAGTTTTTCTTGGAAGATTGTATAAACATCTACAAGAAGTAAAGATTACACTGTAATTCCTCGATGCCCGTTTACAACTTTCTCTTCCAGTTAGCCTCGCTTGTCTTGACTCCCTGCATATACAGTATTAGGTTTGGCTAGGTAGTCTGGTTATGTAACGTTGGGTTAGGTTATACAGTATTAGGTTATTGCTGTTCTTTTAGGTTCAGAGCTGGTTGGAAAGGGGATGACTTGACCTGAAACTCTAGAAAATGGCAGCTATGGGGTTTTGCTTCATAGCTACTGATCATCTTTATCAGTTAATGCATAGATTGATTGATTTGGTTTATTCATAAATAGGGGAATTTTTATTCATTTTATGTCTTGCAGCTGATTTTGTTGTACTGACATGGATTCAAAACTTAAAGATACATTATCATGAAGCCTGTCCAGTGTCTCAGGATTCAGTCTGTGTGTGTGTGTGTGTGTGTGTGTGTGTGTGTGTGTGTGTGTTGCATTGTCTCATTCCAATGTTGTGAAAGAGGTGGGAGAGCACAGCCATTCCTGTGGATCATGGTGCATATTATGATAAGTAGCCGTACACTAGGAAGTTATTTCACAAGATCAAACTTTCAATCATGGTAATTTGTATTTGATTCTTTTGCATTACCTCAAAAGAAGTAGCATTGAACTGTGATTAACTACTCTGATTAAACAAATTTGTGGTGCCCCAGGCCTTCAACACTAATGCAGAACATACCTTAGAAATGGCTACACTCTCATGCCTACTGTTCAGAATTCAAAACATAAAATGCTTTGAAGGCCAGAGTTCATAGACATCAAACTGCATTCTGATAATGCCTTTGGCTTTTACATCCCAGTGTTCATACAGTACAGTACAAGTATTGTACATATAGCTTTATAACTTTTCAATCACATCCCATGTGTGTACACAGACACATTTACAAAGTATTGGATATAATAATATGGGAACAAGTGTTGGTGCATCTGGAGAGGATAAAATTTGTAGATAACAAACTTAGTTCTATGACAAGGTCACCATGATATGGCAGGAGAGAGGGGGGCTCAGAAGATTGCATCTTCCTTGACTATCAAAAATAATTTTAATGTGTGTGGCTTCTCACAAATGGAAAGACAGGGATAACTAGTAAGACACAGTCTGAGTATGTGAGTGCCTAATGAACAGAAAACACAGTCAAAACCTGAGAGATGTAGGCCTTAAGCCTATTGCTATTCCCAATCTCGGTTATCAGCCTACTGTACCGAGGTAAGCTTGTACATGTCAGTGTTTTCAGACAATGTAAAACTAATGAGGAAAATACAAACTGAAAATAAATGTAGTGCTGCTGCAATAAGACCTTAACTAACTGCAGGAATGGGCAGATGTACAATTGCTGGATTTCAGTGGCAACAAGAGTAAGGTAATAAAGACAGGAAGAAGAAAAGGAGACCAGAAAGAATACACCATAAGAGGCAGGCAACTACAGGTGTCATAACCTTGATACACTTGGTAATGTAGACATAATGCCAGCATTGGAAGTCCATGTAAATAGGATAAAATAAATACGGCAGTACAGCATATGGAAAACTGGCAAACATAAGAATGGTATTCAAAATCCTAAACAAGGGCTATTTTAAGACAATTTACACAGCTTATGTCAGGCTAATCCTAGAATACACAGCTCTAGAATGTAATCCATATCTAATGAAGCATAAAAAGAAGATTAAAAGAAGAGGTTTACAACATGGCTAGTTCCCAAACTAAAGAGGTCTTGGCTATTTCAACAGGTTTAAGGCTAATCAAATAATGTAGGAGAGAAGGGTCAGAGGGGATATGATCACTACATACACAATATTGAGGGGAAGAGATTAGATGGACACGGTCAGATTTTCTAACTGAGGGAAAACATGAAGAGCAGACATAAGTGGAAGTGGGTGGCAGAAAACACCCACTACACCTAACGTTCTCATTAGAAGCAAAACTAACAGAAACAAGATTGCCTAAGCAAGGATTTTCACAATACCTTTTAGTCATTGTGGCAAAGTATATGTAGAAGATGCCTCCAGAAACTTAGCTATGAAGATTTACGTACTGACATGTCACACCTTATACTTATGTTATAAATAATTACCACATAGAAATCAGGAGCAACAAGTAATGAACATCAAGAATGCCAAGCTCCTTATCAAACAAGAAAATAATATTAGAAGACAGTGTATTAAATATGCAGCCATCAAGCACTACAAAACCATTAGGAGAGCAATGGAAAATTCAGTACAGTACTACATTTTCACTCTAAATTGATTTTATAAAAATATATATTGTGACATAATCCCTCGCCTCTTGAACCCGACTAAACGTTTACCGTACTTTCTTTCTCCTTAGTAAATAGCTACTTTGTGTGGTGTGCCTGTAGAGTATTTCATCAAGCTTTACAAAACCCTTCAAGGAAACATATCTTCAACACAGTCTACTTGTGATTTTTCTTTCAAGTATGGAAAGTTATAGTATGAAAATCTGTGGTTTATAAAGTTGAGAGAGAGAACTACTGTAATAAGAAATCTACTACTGTACTATGTTTAATATGTGTACTACTATAATTTTCCTATTGAATATATGGATGTCAGATAAGGATAGCAACATAGATGAATATGCATGTAAAAAGGATGTGATTAAGGTGCAGAAGGTGGGAAGATATGTTGAGTGATCATGTGAGTAAATCATGTGATCATGTGTATAAATGGTGAATGATAGGTTTAATTCCAGTAATAAATATTAAATGGAAGCAGTTTGTTAGGCAATGAATGATTTACAATTTTACAGTACATTTGGAGGTCGCCAAGATGCTCTTGTAGGTTTTATTAGTGACATGGTACTGATTTAATGTGTTTCTACCAAGGTTCGAAAGTACAATACAGTACATATTATGTATGGTCAGCTGGCACTGAGAATATCTTAAATCTCCTTTTCCTGTCTAGATTAGTCATCCATTATAGGAGAGTGCCATCCCACAGCCCCCATCAAATTCGCAATGGAGTAATAACGAAGACCATTTTAAGAACGTGTAAAATAGATATTTATAAATATACAACTATATTTACAGGATTCTGCCACAAAGGAGAAGGCACTTCACACAATGTCCTCCATGTCATCCGCGCAGATTGTCTCTGCGACTGCGATGCACAACAAACCATCACTAGGCCTACCCCCACCACCAGTGTCATATGCTAGTGCTTTCTGGCCGGGAGGATTACAGGCTGGGACAAGTCAAGAGTAAGTTTTATTAGCATTTGAATATTAAAATACAAAAAATACTTCTTCTCATAATATAACTAAGGCACAGTGGAGGCTATAATATCCAAAGTAATTAGGAATAGTACCCTCACTTGTAATTTGGATTTTTAGAAGACTTTGGACTGTTTTATTTATTGGCATTAAGGAAGTTTTTTATTATCACAATAGAACATGTATTTGCATATGCAGTACTCGACTGATGCCAAGATTACATTAAGTATTCTTCAGCACTACTGTATATTATTTTAATATTTTTTACATTTATTTTCCATTGCAAATATCCATAAATCGTTAATGTAGGTTTTCAGATAAAATTTTTTTTGGGTAATTGAGACTGCACTATAGTTCACCTAAGTATAAAGAGGGTAATAAAGAAATTAAAAGCATCAACTTAAAAACTTGAAATATCTTTATACAGTATGCACAAAATATTCAACAAATTTGCCTCTGAAGTTACAGTACAATGATAAGAGCCTGTTGGCTTATCATGTCAGTATACAGTATTTTAGTATTGTGTATTTATCTTATAATAAGTTTTTTTTTTTTGTTTTTCAGTGTCAAGCCTTTTGCCCAGTCTCCGTTTGGAATGGGTGGAGAGACCAAACCTCCTGTAGGCGGAATGGGTGGCTTACTTCAACCTGCAGCTGCTCCATCTGTCACAGTACCTCCTTGGGAAGGAAGATCAATTGCTACCCAGAAGTTACGACTTGTAGAATTCAGCGCCTTCATGGAGTCCCAGAGAGACCCCGACACAGTAAGTTTATTTATTGATTACTAGCAGCTGGGTGTATCTGTGGCTGTTTTTGAAAGATGTTGTCACTATTGCAATCCAGACTGAAGCCAAGCTTCCTTGTTCATACTGTATAATGATAAATTAATTTTCCAAAACTAAGAAATTACTATAGTGATTTAACCCTTAACGTTAAGACATTGACCCTTACGCTTCAAAGGTGACTTAGGTTGCCCAATGAGAAACAGACTATTTTAAGTTTTTGTTTTTCTTAACAGTCCATTTCATGTACATCATGAGCCATCAACAATACTTTTCCTCATGACATTATTAGCTAGTTCAGGAAAAAAATTATTTGCCTTCAAAAACTGTTTTGTAATTAGCCAATCTAATCTTCTTTTCAGTATCAGAAACATCTATTTGTACACATAGGTGGGCCAACAACTTATGCAGATCCTATATTAGAGGTAAGTTAACTCGAGTACCTATGGTACAGTATATCAAAGAACTTGCTAGTCACAATCAACTAAATAAATACTAACTACATATTAACAATTTTGCTATATGTGGTTTATTCACTTGTGTACATGCTGAATGCCATTTTTTTACCTGTTGGAAACATTTATTGAAATTATGGACAAATTATTAAATTATCGTTTTTGCATTTCCTCTCACAACACCACAGGATGTCTTTCTTACACCTCATGTTCAGAAGCACACACACAATATTTTTAGTTTTTAAGCTACAAACAAGCAAAACTAGAGGCCATGATTGTTAACTATAGATGAAAATGTGAAGAAATTGTATTGGTGTATTTTCTTACCAATAGTGAGAGATCACTGGAATAAACTCCTAGAGGTTCTGCAAACTAAAGCCATTGGAAATACCTAACAACTTGGGCCAATTGGTACAGGGATTAGGGTGGCTATTTCCTAATCTCCAAAAGGACGACCCAGTGACATTTTTTAAATGTACTGTATATATTACATGCATTCATACAGTAAAAATATAGAATTTTATGAAATGAAGGTTCACTGTGGCTCCGCGTGTAGTGTTAGTATGCAGGCTGTTAGCAGCTAGATTAGCATGCAAGCTGCTCACAGTAATTATCAACAATGTAAAATGCCTAGAGCAATGGTACAAGATCTTGAGGAGGTCGTGCCAGATTATAGGTCGTGTATGATCTTTACCTGATGGTGCAGAGAAACCAACCTGTCCTCTTACAAATTACATCACTTTTTGCTTGTATGCGCTACGGCCAAAAAAGGCATTACTATACCGTAATTTGAAAATGAAAAATAATTGAGAAAATATGGATTTTTTTTTTCCAAAATGGCAAGTTAAGTATTATCTAGTAGGTTAGGAGGGCAAAAAGTTCTCCTAAGGTTTCAAAACTCCATAAAAACAGTTAATTGAAAGTGTCCTATCAGACTAAGCCGGAGGACCCAAACAGAAAACAGGACAGTACATCACTTTCGTCAGCCGATTCCATTTTAAATTACAGTATGTCCTTTTTTAACCTGAGTGCATGTAGGAGCAAAAAGGGACATAACTTGTAAGAGGATGGATTGGAGAAACTAGAGTAATCAGTTTATAAATAATTTAATTATTTGATAGGCTAGTATATGGCATAGGATTTTTTTTTATGGGACCATGCCAGCAAAGTCTGTGATATGAGGGAGAAGAATTCCCTGAAACACCATGTGCTTAACATACAAGTTTATTCACTAAGATTAGAACATAAAAGGAAAATTTATTTCCACATGGAAATGTGATAATTGTCTCTACTTTACAAGGGATTATAGGCAAATCTATGCACAGTACTGTACAATGAAAAGCAATATTTTTGCATATTCTGAATGTGAATAAAACAACTCATTTATATGATTTAAGAATAAACTATACAAATCTCATTATGAATGCTGTAAATTAAATATACAGTACAGTACAGTATATTGTAATTTACATATTCATTATAAAACATGTTTTATTGATTGGGATTTTGTAAAATCTGCCGTTTACGATCCATGTACTGTATCACAGTTCACACTTCATATGTTAGTACCTCTATCTCTTGTATGTTATGCTAGCCACCCACATTATCTCTTAAGCAATATAACACTCACTCTATCAACTCATGTAAGTTCCCTGGAAATTTTGGGTCATCACATTTTTTGCTAAAGAAAGAATAAATTGTTCATGCGAATCACTGAAATTCATTTTTATTTCAGGCGGTCGACATTCGGCAAATCTATGACAAGTTCCCCGAAAAAAAAGGCGGCCTAAAGGAACTTTATGACAAGGGACCTCAAAGTGCATTCTTTCTTGTTAAATTCTGGGCTGACCTAAATGTCAACATTCAGGATGAGTCTGGGACATTTTATGGTGTCACAAGCCAGTGAGTAATGTGTTGGTCAAAAGTACACTTGACACTTGCTAATACCAGTAACTACTCATATACTTCTAAGCTACGTTTATATACAATCACTGAATATGTTTTGCTTTCTGCTCATCACTAAATTTCTCACTTCATATTTTCATCCCATTCATCATGACATAATCACTAGCATGAGAAGCTGGCACCTCTTTATCTCCTTACAATAATCCCTGACCTCCCCATCAGTACATCAATCCCTGACCTCCCCAGCAGTACATCAACCCCTGACCTCCCCAGCAGTACATCAACCCCTGACCTCCCCAGCAGTACATCAACCCCTGACCTCCCCAGCAGTACATCAACCTCTGACCTCTCCAGCAGTACATCAACCCCTGACCTCCCCAGCAGTACATCAACCTCTGACCTCTCCAGCAGTACATCAACCCCTGACCTCTCCAGCAGTACATCAACCCTTGACCCCTGACCCCCCCCCCCTCCCAGCAGTATACAGCCCATCCTCCTGTTTTTGTAGTACTTATAATAACGATGAGGACCATAGTATATATATCCTGACGTACAACAAAATTAGAAAGTAGAAATCAGCACTATTGAGTTGGATAAACTGGAATACTATTTTGTACTTATGTTGCAAAGATAAACTAACCTAACCTAACCTTAGGCATAAAACATGATATCTGAGGAGTACATCACATATAGTACATGTGTGTGCTACACTAGGCCTAGGAATATTTGTTTGTTTTTTAACTTCATTTTTCCAACTCTATAAAGTGAATAATACAAAATTCTACTGTCTAATTGCTTAGAACAGCAATCTTTGTACTATGGTGCACAGTTAAATAACTACTATTTAAACAGGAGAATGGGTTGCAGTATATCAGTCCATGACCTCTTCTACAGTGCATCATCTCCTGACCTTTCCAGCAGCACAATTCTCTTGTGGTGTTCTGCACCCTTGCTTAAGATGCAGATGACGGTTACTGGGTATTGGGTGGATACCTTCAAGCATTTTCCTCACCATATATGGTTATGATCTTGTTTTCCTAATAAATCATACCTTGGCTCAACTTCAGGGCTTCATTTGACCTTTTTTTTTTATTTTGTTCTGGGGGAAACCCCTTCTGCTCCCCGAGCTAACCGGGCTGATACGAATATATTAGACCCTATATTAGATTAGAAGCGCATGGCATTCTAAGCCTACTGGGGACCATGAGCCAGAACCTGGACCCCCTCAGAGAGCCACAAGGAGCAATGGCCTATAGAAACCCCGTGTGGTTGGAAGCATTCTGTCTGCCATCAACCGGGTCAGGCGCCCAGAAAGGTAAGCACCCCAAAACAAACCCCTATTCTGGTTAAAATATTGCTACTGGAAGCCGAACTAGTGGAGAGAACTCCCCAAATGAAAATAGCTTGACGTCACCATGACACCGCGCCTTTGTGCAACCCCTTGTGCCGGCTATCCACCCTGCAGTTCTGTGGCTGATGTGAAATTCGGGTTCCTGGTAAACTGGAGGAAGTCTCATCTGTTTCCCTCTCAGGTTCGGTCTTGGCTGGGTCTTGTCGGACTCTCGGACCGCTTCCTTGCCTCTCCTTCCGGAGGCTCTGCTTCGGCTGCAGTAACGCCTTTGCCTGTGTCTGGAAGGCTCCCAGACACAGGGGAGCCTACCAGACAACCACTCCCGGGTCATCCGCCAGTTGCTCGAGGGTTTGTGCGGGAGCCTAAACTTTGCCGTGATGGTCCACTCACCGTGTCGGGTTTGGCTTTGTCGGCTGTTCTGGTTCCTTCGCGGAAGTCCCTTCTGCCTCTCTTGCAATCGCTGGGTTCGGCCCCCAGGGGCTTTGTGTCAGCTGCTGTGTTGCCAGCTTCCTCTTCGGATTTTTCGTTGTTCATTGCCTTGGCGCTTACCCAGTCCCTCACTCGGATGTGTTCATGGACGCGTCGTCTCTTGGCTGGGGCTTTGTGACCAGTGCTCACCAGGTCGGCCAGGGGCGGTGGGGTCCTTTCTTCTGCTGGGCCCACAGCACGGTGTGGAAGTTTGCAGCAGTGTGGATGACGCTTTGGAGGGTTCAGGTTGCTCCTGAATCGATGATCCGGCTCCATTCGGACTGCTCCCTGGTGATTCATTGTCTGAACCGAGGGGGTTCGATGCGGTCCTTGGCTCTTTGGGGCTGGTCGCTTCGGGTGACTCATCTGCTGAGTTCTCGGGGTTTGACCCTCCTGGCCGTTCACGTTCGGTGGGTGTCCAACGGCCTGTCTCGGTTAATTCCCTTATCTACGGAATGGACGTTTGATGCCGACTCATTTAGTTGACTCTGCTAGACGTACTGGCTCCTGGAGGTGGGGCTCTTTGTGCCAGCATGGTTGAGGCATCTCCCATTGTATGTGGTGCCCTTCGCAGCTGCAAGGCCATCGGGGTCGATGCTTTGCGGCAGGACTGGTCGAGATGGGGGTTATCTGTACCTCTTTCCCCCGGTTCAGCTGTTACTCCAAGTCCTAGCTTGCTTGGAGACTTACCAAGGGAGTGTAGTCCTCTTCTCTCCTTGGTGGGTGGCCCAGCCTTGGTTTCAGGTGCTGGTTGCTCGATGTCCAAACCCGAGGGTCTTCCGCGGCTCTGCCTTTTTCAGCAGATCGGACTGGTCCGTTACATAGATGGTTCGATCTTCTCCTCAAGTCTTCACGACTGGTCTTTTTGACGCACGTCTATCACCACTAGTATGGTGATCAGGTGGCTTTGTTGATGGTGTCCCACCTGCGTGCTTTGTCTCATTGGCAGTCTGAAGTTTCCTGGCAGTCCTTCTGTTATTTCTTGTCCCTTCGTAGGCTTCTTTCTGTCTCGGTTTGGGTTCTTTCCTTTCGTGGTTGGTTCAGGACTATCATCTTATGCCAAATACTATCGCCACACATTGTGCAACGCTGGCAGAACCGCTGCAGCTTGCGTTTGGGGTAGCTGTTACTTCTGCTCCGTTCCACAAGCTGTCTCGTGCATTGTTTCACCTCTGGCCTGCTCATGCACCGCCTGAGCTGTCCTGGTCATTGGACCGGGTGCTCTCCTTTCTCTCTCCTCCTCTGTTTGTGGTGGCCTCTTCGGTGCAGGATTGTTTTTCCAAGCCTCTTTTCCTGTTGGCATTGGCCTCTGGGGGTTGGGTCAAGAAGCTTCATGCTCTCCTACAGCACAGGGGTTTCTACTCCTTTGGTCCTGGTGGTAGGTTTGTTTCTTTGTAGCCATCTCCTTCTTTTCTGGCGAATAATGAGACTGCTGCTTTCCAGAAGGGTTCTTGGGTGGTTGATGCTTGGTTGGTTAGCCTGGGGTGCTTCATGTGTTGTGTCCGGTTGCGGCTCTCCGCCATTACCTGCGCGTCATGGCCTCAGTGGCCGGGGACGAACTTCAGGTTGACCCATATTCCCTTCTTCCCTGTTCCAGGATTTGGGTCTCCCAGGTCGTCCACAGGGTTATTTAGTCCAGCCAGCCTGCGGTCTATCCTTGTGCACATGACATTCGTAAGTTGGCTGCGCTGGCTGCCATCTTTGGTAACATGTCTTTGGGCTGACATTTGAGCATGGGGTTTTTGGAGGTCAAAGAGGGTTCTGGCTGCTCGCTACCTTGTCAATGTGCCTGGGCCTAGTCAAGTCTGTGTCGCATTGGGTCGGCGGTTGCAGCCAGTTGTCTCGATGTTGCATTAAGGAGCGAGGGCCAACCCCCTCCTGGATAAATCCTTCTTGTTTTGACTTTGGGGTAAGTAGCTCCGGGGAGCTGGAGGGGCTTCCCCAGATAACCAGCGTTGAATATAATGAAACGCCAGTTTCTGGGTGAGACCCAGAAGCTCTCCGGCATCCCTCCCTCCCTCTGGTCGGTATTTTTTTAGCATTTTTTTACATCCAGGGTGGATAGCCGGCGTGGGGGGGTCTGGGGCTTCCCCCTTCGTCCCTTCCAGGGAGGGGGTTTGCGCAGACAGCGGCGTGGCGACATGATGATGTCATGTTTCATTTGCTCATTTTTATTTGGGGAGTTCTGTCCACTAGTTCGGCTGTCAGTAGCAATATTTTAACCAGAATAGGGGTTTATCTTGGGGTGCTTACCTTTCTGGGTGCTTGACTTGGTGCCTGACTCGTTCGATGGCAGACATAGAATATTTCCAACCACACGGAGGTTTCTATAGGCCATTGCTCCTTGTGCCTCTCTGAGAGGACCAGGTTCTGGCTCGTGGTTCCCCGGTAGGCCTAGAACTCCATGTGCTTTGACTGATGCCAGGGGTCTAATACATTCATATCAGCCCGGTTAGCTCCAGGGAGCCTTCAGGCCTCACCCAGAAACTGGCATTTCGTTACATTCAACACTGGTATTTTTTGTGTTGCCTATATTGCAACTTTAGTAGGGAATGGCAATACTGTAATTTGTGTCTGGGCAGCCAGAGGTTTGCTCCAACGCCAGACAAAGCCTTACTGACTTGGTGATTGCAGACTTGGTAATCTGCAATTGGTTTGTGTACCAATTTGAGTTGTTTCCAGAGTTGGGCAGTTTAGTGTAGCACTTTCAATTCACTTGACTGCTGCAGTCTTTGGCACTGTATATGATTACTGGCAGCCTTCATTCTCCACAAATTCTTTACTTTCTCTTTTTACTGCAAGTAAGTTCCAACTGCTTCACTTTTACAAAAAGCCCATAATCAATCATATATAACCAACCAGCATATAAAATTCTTCAACAAACATCTAAGGTGCTTCATTGAATCTCTTAGCACGAATGATTTTGAAGTGTCTGGCTCAGATTCTGCTGGTGGCCATCTTAAGAAGGGTGCAAGATCCATTTGGGAACAGGGTGTCAAGGAAAATCAATAAAATAAGCAGCACAGTTTAAATTGTGAAATATTGTGCAGTATATGTGTACAGGTAATTGCAAAATTTATTTATTGCTTATAAATATCTTATGTTACTGCAATGCATTATGGATACAGGGATGTGCTGTTATTGATACATGTTCCTTTTTATTCCACACAGATATGAAAGTCCTGAGAATATGACAATCACTTGTTCCACAAAAGTATGTTCATTTGGCAAGCAAGTTGTAGAAAAAGTTGAAACAGAATATGCTCGTTTTGAGAATGCACGGTTTGTGTATCGCATCCACCGCTCACCTATGTGTGAATACATGATCAACTTCATTCATAAACTCAAGCATCTACCAGAGAAATACATGATGAATAGTGTGTTGGAGAATTTCACCATCTTGCAGGTATTTTTATAGTGTGTTACTGCAACAAAATTGTGGCACTGTATTCACTTCTTTTATAATTATTAAAATGTTAATGCATGACCACCTAAATGGCTTCATAAAAGAATTAAGAAATGTTTTAGGTACCGGTATATAATAATAGAGAGTACCATGGTTATTACGAGGAGAAAGTGCTAAACCAATGGCTATGTAGATAAGAAGAATAACATACCTAAATACATTTACCTTTCTTTACAGGTAGTAACAAACCGGGACACGCAAGAAACGCTATTGTGTGTGGCTTATGTATTTGAGGTTTCTACGTCAGAGCATGGTGCGCAACATCACATTTATCGTCTAGTTAAAGACTAACAATACGCCCCAGGACAGCTCATCCTTGCGTCATATCAGACGCTGAGCTGGCTTCTTGTGTAGCACTATGTTCCACAGTGCAGGAAATGCCTTGTGAAGGATTACAGCTGTGCCCCTGTGTAACTCATCTGTTGCCTGCAAGTGCTTGGTTATACGGTATTTAAAAAATCCATCATGGTCCTAGGCATCAGTCATAAAGGAAGCTCACACTCCCAAGGTTGTACTGCAAGGTTTGGCAGCTTACCCTGTACCAGTTATGTGTCCTATACAGAGATGTCCTGGCATATTGTTGAAGCTGTTCACCAAGCCACAGGCAAAAATGGCAAAGACAGCTATGAAATTATATCAAAGACCACCACCAAAGGCACTCACGATAATGGAACTATGATACTCAAATACAGTACTGCAGATATTGCTTGCATGTGTTTTCTACAATGTAACAGCATTAGTAGTTCAGTATTGGTTACTGGTGTATCATGCAGAGTTTTTGTGATCTGATATTCAGATATACAGCTCTGGATGTGCATAGCACTACATTAAAAGGCATCTGATACATTATATAGATACATATTTGAATCATTGAACTTTATTGAATATGATACAAGTGGTATTAATGGTTGCATAATAAAATGTACAGATATATATATACTTATAAGGGTGGCAGATAGTGTGTGTGTGGGGAGGAGTGAGTGCGATCTGCTCTGTGCCTCGTTGACAAACAATATATAGTGTGCTGGCTGCTGCCCATCCAGTTCATCAACATGCAAATACATTGTAATGCCTACTGTACTTAAAAACAAAAACAAAAAAACACACCTGCGTTATCGAATCACGCAATGCATATTGTGACTATCCAAATGTGAACAAAGTGATTAAATATTTTTGTAATTTATACTCAGAGAAAATGAAATCTGTTTGCAAGTCCATGGTGAGGCAACATTATGACAGTGTCTTTCACATCTTTAATATTGTATTATATAATACACTGTTTCTCTCCACTTTGTACAAACTATCATTGAAGGCTGTTACTGCCGAAATAAGCAGCTTCTAACGATCGTTCTACACATATCGCTTTACTTTTATTTCTTCTTTTTATTCTTCTTTTTTTCCCAATTCTCTGTAGTTTAGGAATGTCAGTGTTTAAAACTGTTGAATAGTCTAGATATCACTGGGGCAAGAAGGTCGCATGTTGTTCGCTGACACCCTTAACCTTTAAATATGCAACATGCGTCCCTCCACAGCCACCTGTATACCGGTAGATCATTATTATTATTATTATTATTATTATAATTATTATTATTATTATTATTATTTCATTTTGCAAAGTTGTTGATGTTGTTAGGGAATTTTTTGTGATCTCAGATGTTCTTATCCAAAGGCTTTAAAAGTCAGGAGGTGAAGTTTATGAATGGGAATAGTTGTGTTCCAATTCACTGCATTGCTGTTTTAGTGCCAAGACATATATGTGAATACTCTGAAGAACTTGTTTGTGCAACATAAATCATCATCAGTATGTTGTTATATTATTTTATTTTATACAAATAATTAAAGATTGCCATATTAAATGATAATTTGTGCTAATTCATCAGAGGCTTTTCTCACACTCATTTATGAGATTTTGGTCGCAAGCACACAAAGTGCCTTCATTGTTTAGCCATTCTATTCCTTGCAGTCTGAGGAACTGTAAAATTATAGTCTATCTATTTGAACATATGCAGAATTATTTATAATGTACAAGTTTTTATGACAATAAGAATTACTTCCCCCTATACATATTGTTTCAAATCGTATAATGGCTTCTCCGGCAGTTGTACATCCTCAGAATGGCAAGGAAAGGCAGCTTGACTATCCAGGCAACTACCTCTCCTGTCCGTCAAAACCCAATCAGATCCAACATGTTTCCACACTATCCTTTGACAGTGCGAAACCTAAACGACGCATTTTCTTGGGATGGCCAATACATTTGGCAAGAGTGTTTGTTTTCTTAATCTTCACTACTGACTTCTTGTATCAAAACTAAAGGTGCTGTTTTTATCACAGTGTATGTGAATTCTACATTATATTTTAGTTTGCCATCATTATCAGGTTTAAATATACATTTAAAACATCCAGTAGAGTGAAGAACTTCAGTTCCTTATTCTGGTATTACTGTAAGATGACCAACCCACCTTTAGAGTAGATAATCAATAGCCAAGTCTTAAAGTATTATTGTATCTAAAGTCCAGATTCTGGATCTCTAGCTGCCCATTGTCTGCTGTAGACTTTTGAGGGTGTTCCGAGAAGTGCAGCAGGTGAAGAGTGGTCTGGGTAGGACCGAATTGCAAGACTTGTAATACTTTAAAATAGAGGCTCTAATGTGGCATTTTGTGGCATGCTGAGGCTTAAGCCAGAAACAACTCAGTATTAATAATGTGGTTTGCAGTTTAAAACATCAAATATTTTTTCTTATGTAGTTAAATTTGTGTTAAGAAGAAAATATATTTCCAAAATCCTTCCTTAAGGATCACTCGTTTTATCATATTTATAAATAATTATTGTCAAAATTTTCCAATTGAGAAGACTGACATTTTTCTTCTGTTTTTACATCGCAGTTTTCCTTGGTTTTAAGTAATGTGATAGAAAGCTTATGTGTAGACAGAGGTTTTAATGTTACAGATACCATCCCCTAATATTACTAGACTGACCTGTTATGAGCAGTTGTTCAAATAACATGATAAATGAGCCTCATAATTACTGTGATAAAGGAACATAGAGGATATGTATCCACTCTTGAGTGAGAAATTGCTGTTATTACATGCCACAAGGAGGTTATTGTATTTTACATGCATTACAGATATAGTTTGTTAATAATGTAACCAAGGATGCAAACAGAAAAACTTTCAATACTTATTCATATCAAGCACATGAAATTTCTTCCCATGATGTAAAAGGCCTTCATCACCAATCACGACTGTTGAACTCACATGTCTGTCTGTTCAGTTCTTGGGGACAGAGTTTAGGCAATGACGTAACTGAGTTGAGTCTGAGCACCAGATATAATAAAAAAGTTTATATATTGTAGTGTTATAATGATATATTGACCTGTGGTGTCTTCATAAATAGATTATGTTGTGCTAAATATTATTTGATGAAGAGGTTAGGTTTTATTAGATAAATCTCTGAATATTTTAATTCATATTTTACTCAGACTGAAAACAGTTAAGGCTTAGTCTAAATTATGTTGCTGAATCTGACTTTGTTGTAAACTGTGTTTCTTGACCATTTATAAGTTGACAGAATTATTGGCCGAAACAGTGTTTGCCCAACTGAATGTGGTAGACTGGATGAAATACCATTTTGTACAGTTGTATAAAATAGACATTTTTACGTGATTCTTTCCTTTTCCTTATCCAGATTCTTTACTTTTATAATAAAATGTCTATACCATTGATGTCCATCTGTGAATTCCACTTTGTTAATCATATAGCATCATTACTTGCCTTTATAGAAAAGATTATTATACTATTTATTTAATAACTATTAATATCATTTATTGAAGATTTTTCATTAAGTGGATGAAAGGTTTATAATTACAAATGCAATGTAGATCCATATTAAAAGTGAATTGTTCAGAAATATGCACCTATCCCATTATCTACACACTGATGATAAAAATGGTAAATATTTGCATTTTTAGCCATTGTGGTAGTACAAGTAGAACATACGTCTCAACCACAGCAATGGCAAACATTGAAAATGGCACTTAACAACAGCAATGGCAAACAGAAAATGCCTATAACTACAATGATGTCGCAAGGAGATATAATGAATAGTTGAATGGAGCACAATGAACTGACAAGAATAAAGAAGACTTGAACTGAAAGCAGGCTGTTTTTCTACAAGATTTTGGATGAAACTCCAATAATAACACACTGTAAAAGGTGCCTCAACAAAAGGATAGAAAAGAAACTGGCTAATCTGTTCATACAAGTAGAAACTGTTTAATTCTCAGTGATGGTGTAAGTAAAAAATTGGCCACAAACCCACAGCAGCAATGGTACAATTGGAAATTGCTTCATCTACATAGTGATGGTTTGAGAAGAATCTATTTTGTACAAACAGTGGTGGTGCGAGTAGAAGATAGCAACCAGCCTTCTCAACTGATTATATAAATAATTAAGCGGTCTTGCAAATTGATGTTACAAATAGAAAGCACCATTTCTGAGCTTTCACTTACCACCTAAGAACACCACTGATATAGAGGAAGAGTATTGTGCAGTCAGGAAGGATGACATTTGATATATTGTATCAGTGCCTCAGATGCGTCTTTAAAGGTCGGAATGATACTAAGAACAACTGGAGGAAATCATCCAACCACAGTAACTGTTTAATTTTAAGTAAACTGTGGAAAGCTGAAAAACATATTCCTTACTTGCTTTCTTTGGCCACCATGAGAGTGGCAAAAAACACCTTGGCAAACTACTGGCTGGCTTGTCAGCTGTGTACTACTGCTACTTGTCAGCCTTGTACTACTGCTGACACCAGATGACAACACCTGAACCAAATCACCTCAGTTGATCCTGAGCATCAGGTAGGCTATGAACCGGAATTTAGTCAAGTGCTCCGTTCATTCATTGAAATGTATTGCAGCGTGACCATGACTAGCTATACTGTATATAATTCCTTCACAGATATATGTGTGTGTCTTTGTCAGACACTCATTGCCTCTGTGTATATCTGTCTGTGTGTTTATGTCAAGTCATTGTACTCGCTAGTTGTGCTTGCGGGGGTTGAGCTCTGGCTCTTTGGTCCTACCTCTCAACTGTCAATCAACTGGTGTACAGATTCCTAAGTCTACTGGGCTCAAGGCTCTTGCATTTTTTGTGCAAATTGTGTATTTGCCAATTTGTTTATATTCAGCAGTGCTCAACTTGCTCAATGTGCATGTACCATTTCTGAAGGGGCCAAACAGTGACTTTCTGTACTTAGGCTTACTGAGACAGCTCCATACACATCAACCCCAAAGGGTCATTAAGTGACTACCAAAGGGCAGAACCAGAACCTGGTGCACTTACAATCACTGGCATGAAGGAAACATCGAAGAATTAAGTGAAGTAAAACACTCTTAAGATTTCACAAAGAAATTAGAATGAAGCGGCAAATGATTCTACAAAAGAACTAACAAGTAGTCAGTTCAAAACCCCTAGTTACAGCTGTAATGGGAGCTGCCAGCTCCCACGTCAACACTAGACAATCCTTCGCCTGATATTCACCCATGTGGAACACTCCCCGAGCTGCCAAGCTTCTCGGGATTCCAAATATTTCTAGGTAAGTACTGGATATCTTTTGGACTCTTTCATGTGGGGGCCATTTGCTTGTGTATCATCCCAAGACATACTATTTGCTTTATGTATGGGTTTACAAGCATCACTTGTGTAGACTTCAAAACTATTAAATTTTAGCTACATGTGCTTATGGCAGCCTTTCTTAAACTTTGTCGTGTGATGCTACTGCCCTAACAAGGGTTACTTCCGTTGTTTGTTTGGAAGTGTGTCTTAAGTAAGTAAGTAATAGAGTAGTGCAAGGGGTCACTGACTCCTTAGTGAGGCACAATGGTTGGGGGCATTCTAGGGTTTATTAATTGAAGTGTACACTAAGTATCATGTACTTGTATATACAACACACCGGTGATGCCCAACATAACCACATTTATATTAAGGCTACGTTCAGCAAGTCATTTCATTCAAGGAGTGCCCCCATTTGGCTTCCAAAGGTATCCTTTGGTTATCGATTCTTAGTCTGTTCTGCCAGGGGTGCATCTGTTGTATCCAATGGTGACAGTTCATTGCTACCTGTATTCAACCTGGTCTTTTTCGGAAGAAAATTTATTTACTGATCTGGTCTTCTTGGCCTCCGTTCCAAGACACGTTTATCTCGGGTTGTCTGCAGTTTCATCAAGTCTAGCCAGTCTGCGGTCTACCTTCAGGTTCATGATGTTTGAAAGTCTGTTGGTTTTCTGTATGTCTTGGGCTGATATTCAGGCATAGGTGTTTTTGATATCTAACATGTTCCTGGCAGCTCATTAACTTGCCAGTGTCCCTGGTCCGTAGGGCTTGTATTGCCTTTAGTAGGGTTTCCCTGTAATGGTCAAACCAACTGTAATGTTGGTGCTGAATGTAGAGCATGGAAAAAACACAATTTTCCATGGAAATAAGCTCATTTTATAACGCAATAAGACCAAAATAGGTGGTAGGTGACACCAAAGAAAGTCGATGAGGCACTCAGATCATCAATTTTCTTTGGCATCATCCCCCCACCAATTTTGGTCTTACTGTGTTATAAAGACAAGTGAGCTTATTTCCTACAAATTTATTTGTTGGTCCTGAATGTAAATTGTTAAAAATAAAGTAAATTTGTTATTGGAACAGTAAATAATTCCCAGCAAATTAGGCAACTTTTAGGATTTCATCCTGGGGACAATCAGTAGGTCTACTTTGGGGGGGGGACCTTGATACAAACCTAAAGTACATATACACAGGCTTCCTGCTCCCAACAAAACGAATTATTATACTGTACATGCATTTCCTTTCCTTAACTCTCCTGCATATTATATAGGATTGCCAGTATTTAGCAGGTTATTGTGGAGGATTGTCAGTGTTATGCAGGACATGGTGTGGGACTAGCAGTTCTATAGGGATATGGCAGAGAACTGGCAGCTCTGCAGGGTACAGTAGAGGACTTGCAATGTTTCGCAGATTATAGTGAAGAACTGACACACTCTTGCAGAGTATTGTGGAGGGCTTAAAAGTTTAGCAATGAATGAGGATTTAAGTGTTTTGCAGGAAATGGTGAATTGGTTGATTTGTGCAGAGTATTTTGGAGAATATGCTGTGTTGTGCAGGATATGGTGTAGTACTAGTAATATTCCACTGTATGATGGAGAACTAGCAGTGTTCTGCAAAATATGCAGGAGAACATGGTGTTGCACTGGATACGTTGAAGAACTTGCAGGGTTCCATTGCATACAATGGAGGACTGGCCTTGCTCTGCAAAGCCCCACCCCAGGGCTCCACAATGGAGGAATGGCCTTACTCTACAGGGCCCCACCCCAGTACTGAGCCCAACAGGGCTCAGTACTTGGACCCATCCTGTTTCTCTTATATGTAAACGATCTTCCGAAGGGTATAGACTCGTTCCTCTCAATATTTGCTGATGATGCAAAAATTATAAGAATCAAGACGAATCAAGATAGACAGAGACTACAGGATGACCTGGACAAACTGGAGGAATGGTCTAGCAAATGGCTGCTAAAGTTCAACTCAGGAAAGTGTAACGTAATGAAATTAGGCAAAGGGAGTAGGAGGCTGAATACAAGGTATCATCTGGGAGGTGAAATCCTGCAAAAATAGAGTCAAATAGAGAGAAAGATCTGGGGGGTTGATATCACACCGAACCTGTCCCCAGAGGCCCACATCAAAAGAATATCATCAGCAGCATATGCTAGACTGGCCAACATAAGAACTGCCTGTAGAAACTTGTGTAAGGAATCGTTCAGGACCCTGTATACCACTTATGTAAGACCAATCTTGGAGTATGCAGCTCTAGTCTGGAGTCCATACCTAGTTAAACATAAGACAATGTTAGAGAAGATTCAGCGGTATGCCGTCAGACTCGTCCCGGAACCGAGTGGAATGAGCTACGAGGAAAAGCTAAAGGAGCTGAACCTCACATCCCTGGAAAACAGAAGAGTAAGGGGAGACATGATAACAACCTACAAAAATCTCAGGGGAATTGACAGGGTGGACAAAGACAAACTCTTCAGCACGGGACACGAACAAGGGGACACAGGTGGAAACTTAGTACCCAGATGAGCCACAGAGACGTTAGAAATAATTTTTTCAGTGTCAGAGTAGTTAATAAATGGAATGCACTAGGAAGTGATGTGGTGGAGGTTGACTCCATACACAGTTTCAAATGTAGATATGATAGAGCCCAGTAGTCTCAGGAATCTGTACACTAGTTGATTGTCAGTTGAGAGGCGGGACCAAAGAGCCAAAGCTCAACCCCTGCAAGCACAATTAGGTGAGTACAGAGTATGGTGCATGACTAACCTTGCTCCACAGAGTATGGTCAGAGACTGGCATATAGTTCCACACAGTGGTAGATGAATAGTATATTGTTCCATATAGTGATAGATGAATGGTATATTGTTCCACAGTGGTAGATGAATGGTATATTGTTCCACAGTGGTAGATGAATAGTATATTGTTCCATACATTGGTAGATGAATGGTATATTGTTCCACAGTGGTAGATGAATGGTATATTGTTCCACAAAGTATGATAGAGGACTTGCATATTGTTCTACAGTATGATCGAGGACTGGCATATTG